TGTGTTGTCTTGTCGATCTGAAAACCTACTCGCCCGCGAAAAAGGTGTTATATATCCGAGAATCTTTAACACGCGAAGCATAGCGCGGTTAAATACTACGTATGTGTGTTGCCTTACCTATAAATAACGGGCGTATTCTAGTTATTTTCTGCGCTTAACCATAACAAATTGCAAAACTTTCCATAAAAGCAGGGGGGTTTTTCGCTTTAACAAATGTCTGAACGCATTTATGTACCAATGTGCCAATATGGCAAACCCTGTATGTTGGCGGACTGTTGGAATGATGGTTAAGTTGGGCGTAGATACTGGATATGTGTGAACAGGTTTGGAGGCAACAGCGGAAATTTTTGCAATTTTGATTTATGGTTTGATGAACCCTGTAAGAAGGAATGCTACAAAGAGTCTTTGCAGTATTATAATGATTTGACCGAAAAATAGTGGGAATATGAACGAGAATATAAACGAGAAATTGCGGAGTTGAAAGAGAAACAAAAGAGGCGGAAGAAGAAAAAAATAAGCTGAAAGAGAAATTTAAGTGGTTGGAGCAAAGAATACTAGGCGGTCGTGACTAAACAATGACATGTATGTGTTGAGTGTAGCACGTTGTCTTTATGTTTCCCATGTCATGTGTTTTCATTAGTTGTACTGACTTTAAATTACGTTAAGTTGTTATCGTCGGTGCAGCAGTAACCTACAGAAGAATAAGTCAACTCAGTATATGAAAATATATATTACTAATGTAGTGTAAAGTCACAAAAATTTTAAATTGTCTTGCCATGGTCTCGTCGGGCCCCTGAATATAAGCATCCATCGCAGCCAGGTCAGCATCGCACAAAGTGGACTCCGTGACGGGCGGGGATGAAGCCTTAATAAGAATATTATGTAGTTATTTATGACGAATCAATGAGATAAAAACAAATTTAAATTTAATAGTAATACAAACATACCTGCGCCTGTGAAAGATCGCCAGCAACCCTCGATGATGAGCCATAACTCAGCCGGCGCCCACTATCCATATCTCGGGTCGGCCAATTCTCAGCAGCGGTCGATGGGTCTGGAAAGTACGCATCCCAATCCTCTCCGGTAATGCCCGTGCCCGTGATCAACAATGGACCTGACGGGGTCACCTGCGAAGTCCCTGGAGTGAGAGGTAGCTGAAGGCTGAATGAAGGTATGCTGTTGTGATACTCGTCCGAATCATGGAGGTCACCCGGCAGATAAGCATCAACATCATCAACAGGTGCCTCGACGCCCCCTTGCAGGGGACCACCTCCTCCCCGACCCCCACAACCTCGTGGGCAACCCCTACCTCGTGGGACACCCCTACCTCGCTGGTAGTGCTCTGGCGCCACATAAGCAGGGTCGTGTGCTAAGCTCAATTCCTCTCAGGCTCGCCGATGTCCGGGCAGCCAGCTCTGCAACCTGCCAGCCATGATCGTGCAAAATGGCCGCTCCCTCGCCGGCATGCTGCTGCATTTGCAGTCCCAGTTGGTAGGATAGATGTAGGCCAATAGCCTGCACAACGTGTAAAATATAAATTACAGATCGCTAGGTTGCAGTTATATAAGTAAGGATACCAAATAACATACCAGTGCCTCGTGCCGCCCGGCGTATGGAACGTACTGATCGCTAGCACATCAGCTCGCCGGTCCCAAGTATCGACCTGCGCCTCTAGCCATGCCACATATGCGCCGTCCACCCTAGATTGATCATCCCGCTGGTAATGTGTGGGCTGCCATGTGGGCTGTCTCGGTACAAGCTGCGGATGGCCAAACTGGCAAATTACTCGCTCCGTGGCATGATGCTGCATAATTCGAGGCATATCAGCGGGACGGAAGAGCTCCAAATAAGTCGGTCGGCCGAGCAATAATCGGGCAGGCCACCTATCAACTCGTCGATGTATGGCGTCCAGATGAATTATTAAGTAACAACAGAAAACGTGAGTATGCGCAACACATGTGAAGCTATGCCAAGTAAAATTAGGTATACATTTACTTGTGCGCCCTCCAGCATATCCAACAAATCCCTGCAAAGGGGGAGATTATGCCGAGCCTCGTAGGTATGTACGTATCCCCGCCGGAGAACCCACCTCCTAGCTAGAGGGAGAAGCGGAGGGGGTACATCCGGAGGTAATGGTGGTAGAGGTGGCTAAAACTGCAGGAACCGCTCCCAGGCCCAAACCTAACATACAAAGTTGACGTAAAGTTTAAGATATATTTTTACTAGATATGTTATAATGAATAGGGTATTCGAATATGTTGTCACCTGTAGCAGCGGAAAAAATCCACATACGTCATGCTGGGTGCCCATATCGCCCGGCACATCTACCTGTACAAGTAGGCGAGAACAGCAGCATCCCAACTTTACTGGGGTAAATCATCTAGCTGCTCAAGATGATGAAGAAATCTCAAGCTGACTAGATTCCCCGAAGTGTTCGGGAACAAGACCCCTCCAAACATAATGAGTAGCAGCAACCTCGTATACCGGTGAATATGCAGATCATCTGTCTCGCCATGGATGTTGGGGTGCAATATCTCCAAATACTGTCGAATAGCCGTCAAACTCAGGCGACTGGCCCCTGCCTGTGCTGTGGCCTGAAACTAGTGAGCTGCTGCAGCATGTCCAAATAACTGTACACGTGTCATCTCTCTCATGGCATGCGGTAGAGAGACCGGGTGTCCATCAATGGGCAGCCCATATAAAACCACCACGTCCTGCAGCGTGATGGTGGCCTCGCCAATGGGCAGGTGGAATGTGTGTGTCTCGCCACCGCTCTATCAGGGTCGTGACCAAAGAGCAATCGAGCTGCAGCCGCCTGATCTCCAAAATCTTGTAGAAGCCCGTATCCTGCAAGCGTCTGACTACACGGGGATGGAGAAATTTGCCCTTCAGAACATCCCACATGTCGTCCACTCTCCTTGCGCGAAGAGTCTGAGTCAGTAACTCTCCCTCCCATATGTGGGCAGACCTATGATCGCCCTGTAACGACAGTAGCTCATCGCGGAAAGGTCCGGGATGGATAGGCGGCACGTCCATGTCGTCCACTGTAAATTAAACAACATTAATTACATGTTTGTTTGAAAATTAAATAATTAATTTTTATAATTATACAATATTTAATTATTAAATGTTCACATATGGGTTCTAGACTCGATATTTGAGGCCCAGTAGCACCAAAGTATCCTGAATTCTTGTATATGTTAGTTTTATTATTTTACATGTTAGTTTCACAATTTTATATGTTGTTTTGAATATTAAATAATTAATTTTTATAATTATTCAATATTTAATTATTAAGTATTCACATATGGATTCCAGGCTCGATATTTGTGGCCCAGTAGCACCAAAGTATCCTGAATTCTTGTATGTGTTAGTTTTATTATTTTAAATGTTAGTTTCACAATTTTATATGTTTGTTTTGATAATTAAATAATTAATTTTTATAATTATACAATATTTAATTATTAAGTATTCACATATGGGTTGCAGGTTCGATATTTGATACCCTGTAGCAGTAAACTATCCTGAATTCTTGTAGGTGTTAGTTTTATTATTTTACATGTTAGTTTCATAATTTTATATGCTTGTTTGTAAATTAAATAATTAAGTTTTGTAAATTGGACAGAGTTTGTGTTTTCTATCAGTATAAGAGATACTTAAACTACAGGGATACTACCGCTAAAAGGCTCTATATTTTACTACGCTAAAAGGGCACATATTACTAGTCTTTAAGCAAATAAATAATCTGAACTAGATAAAAACAGCAAATACATTTTTATCACAAAACATTCACGAAAATACATATAAAATAGTATTTATTAACATTTTTATTAACAAATAATAATGATTTCTCAATTTTTACATATTTTTTTAGAACATTAATATCTTAGTCCGGATAAAAATAACATACCACTTTAATTGCAAAAAAATAAATAAAATACAAGACAACATGGAACACATTCAAAACAACTAATATGCATTATTTATACGAGTTTCGACATAAACTAAATCGGAATACCTCGATTTATGTTTTTCAGAAAGTTGAAGAATTGAAAATTTGGCTCCGAAACAAGCAACCCACAACAATAGAAGGCTTGGCTAGGGATGTGGGACCAATACTCTTTACTTTTTGTGGGACGGGTGGGGTCCAATCGAGTTTTTTATCGAGTTAATGGGGGGGGGGGGTAGGGGGAAGACGGCTGAAGTTTTTTTAAAAATAGCGGGGAGGGGGGGAGGGGAGCTTTCTGTCGAGAACGTGGGTGAAAGGGAAGGGGACAAGTACTTATATATGAAAAGCGTGGTTTATAAAAGCGCTTTACATATAGCGCTTTTATAAAAAGCGCTTTACATACCTGTCTTATCAGCTTCCAGGTATATCGCGTTTATTAAAAGCGTTTTATATAAAACGCTCTTTTAAAGAGCGCTATGCCTTAACGTCCCAAACAGACATTAAAGTATAACGCTCTTTAAAAGAGTATTTTATATAAATATGTAACTATTATTTTTTTACACATATTTCGGTCACTTGTGTCCAAAAGAACCACAAATAGGTTCTGGACCGAACAATACTGGGTGTCAAGTTTTGTCTCGAAATTCAAGCAAAAGCTGGATTCAGTACAGTTGGTAATTGATGCTTCCCTTAGAAACAGAAAAAGAAATGCAATAATTTTGCACCCATTAAGGCCTAAAGCAAACCACAGTTTCTTGTAACCCAAGTCACAATAACCATCCAACCATTGCCCTTCTCCGGTATTCTGGTTCAATCTGCTCTGTCAGTCCTCTAAAAGAGTACACGTTTTCAATATCAATCCAAAAGTGTCCATTCCCCAAATCTAAATCCAAGCATTTAATCGTTCTTTAATCTTTACCAAACTCTTTCTTTCTATGTCTGCACCTTTCGAATTTCGAAGAGGCAACAATCCCAACCCCCACACACACTAAACCAAACCTAACATACTATGAGCCTTCCAATTAATTTTACTTCCACGTTCCATTCTCGTGCTAAAGTATTCTTCACACACTCATAAATTACGTGGCCCAATCACACCAGTACGCATAACAAACCATATGCGACAAAGAATAATCTTGTGGTGCTCTTGGATATGCCCTTCCCTGTCTTCTGCGATACGCCCCAGGACTCAGTCCCTTTAAAAACACATGAAAAGCAAAAGGGGCAGTCCAATCTCTTCGCTTTTTTACTAGTTAAAAAAAAACTCACATTCTTTTTCTCTGCTACCATTCGAATATTCGCTTTTTAGTTCCTCGGTATTATACCTTTTATTATTATTTCTCCAAACCTATAATATTCGCACCTTCTAGTTCTTTCACAACCCTTTATAAACCAAACCTCCATCATCTCTTTCAAAATACAGATTCTCTCTCTAAATAAAGTTTTTGAAGAAAAAAAATGCAAGCTTATGGTAGAATGAAGAGAGTAACTGACCCGCTTGACGACAAAGTGAAGGCTCGGATCATTGGGCGTGACCAGCAGGAACTCGGTTACCTGAGCAGCGGAAGCGAACACAGTGCCCACGCCGATGATGATGCTTCCTGTAGCTTCTCTAATCTCATCTTTGGTTTGCCTGATGATGTGGCGGCCGAAAATGTGCCGTCCGAGAATGATTCAGACTCCGACGACGGAGATTTGTCAATGTACGAGTCGACGGACGTGATTGAAAATTTGCCAAAGCCAGTGTTTTATAGCGATCTGGATTTGTTCTGTATTTTGCTGGCGACTAAGGTTACTAAGGCACTGGAAATGTTTTCCTTTTTGAAGTCGAATAAGCAGATCCTGAGGCGAAATGTAATGACCTATCTTAGGGATTTTGGTTATAATGCCGCTATATGCAAGACGAAATGGGAGAGTTCTGGTGGACTTAAGGCCGGAAACTACGAGTTCCTTGATGTTATCCGATCGGATTCAGGTAACCGGATCACTCGTTACTTTATCGACCTAGATTTTGCGGCGGAGTTCGAGATAGCAAGGCCTACGAATTACTACGAGCGTCTGTCGCAATCGTTGCCGAAGGTTTTCGTAGGTAAAAGCGAAGAGTTAAAGCAGATGTTGAAGGTAATGAGCGACGCCGGTAGGCGATCGCTGAAAAGCAAAGACCTCAGTATTCCTCCATGGAGAAAACACCGGTTCATGCAGAACAAGTGGTTAGGTGCTTACAAACGGACAACCAACGTCCTCCCGTCGGCAAACTCATCGGCGTTGTCGTCGTCGAAGCAGACTAACGTCGTTAAGTGCCGGTCCGTTGGGTTTAGCGTTGTCGATATTAACAGCCGTTTACTCTTTCCTGCAGCAACCCGTAATAGATGATAGCGACATGTGGAAATTACTAATCAATAGTTTTAAGATAAAAGGATTTTTATTAGCAATTTGATGAAAATTGTCCTTTTGTGACCTTGAAAAGGATAACTATGGTAGAGCGATATTATTAAGATTAAGAGCCCGTTTGGATTAATTTATTTTAAATATTTTTAAGCCTAAATAATGTTTAAGTTATTTTGTAGTATTTGGATAAAGTAAAAAAATACTTTTAAGCACTTATTTTTAAGTTAAAATGATAAAAATAAACCAAAAATTAAAAATTAAAATTTGTAATTTATGACTTTTGGCTTAAAAGTCACTTACAACAAACTCATCCAAGCGGCTCTAGATATGCGGAAAATGCACATTGTGTCGACATCTTCTAACTAAAGCTTCACGTGCTAATAGCCCAATTTTGGAGAACCTTTTGATCAAGGCGTAGGAATTTTTATATGTCAATCCAATGTTCCGAATATTATTGTTGATACCATATATATACAATATAGTATATAGTATGTGCAGTTCCAATTTAAAAGGATGCTCTAGTTTTATGTGGTTACTTCTCAAAAATACATGGTGAATTGTTCCTATTAATATTGCTAATAATTTTATTAATTTAGAAATTTAATTATATTTATATTTTAAAATGTAGATTATATGAATATGTTGAATTAATATTTTAAATTTCGTTTCAGTTTTTCTTACTTTTTCTTTCTATCTCTCTTTCTTTTGCGTAAAAAAGTTAAATATCACTTGAGGATAAACGAATATAGTACATTATTCTACTGTACGCTTTAAATATAGGAATTTTTACCTCCTATAACAAAGGTTGATAACTTATTATTTTAAACAAATACCCTTTTAAAAATTTATATTTCATAGCTACCTTTTGATTTTTGTAGCCAAATATTTATTTATGGTCACCTCCTACCCTTAAGCCATAAATACGCTTGTATTATTTTTCTCTCTTATTCTTTCAGATTTTTCTCCACCCTTTCTCTCCAGCTTATCAAAGACTAGGGTTTTGAGATTTTAGAGAATCTTACCAGTCCCTGCCCGAGCATTTAGTTCCTCATGGACTGGGTTCTTGATCGAAGAAGTCCACATGTCACTCTTCACTGTATTTGAAGACCTATTAGCCAAAACTAATCTCTCCCCACAAGATATCAATGTTTTAATCGTTAATTGCAGCTGGATTTTGCCCCGCTCCCTCGCTTTCTTCCATAATTGTTAACAAGTTTTCCATGAGCGAACAGTGACGTTTCCATAATTCATCTTCATTGTCTCGCAAAATTTTCAAATTCTATTGTGCTTCCTAGATCTCTTTGCACTGGGTTCTTGATCGAAACGGGAACAATGACGTTTCGAGTCAGAATCGAGGCCCTCTCGACGAGACAACATTAGGGTTGTTCTTGAACAAAGACGATGGAGTTTGGGGCTGAGCAACTTGAAGATTCTCTCTATTCTATGTATTTCAATGTATTCATTGTCTTTTTTTCATTGTATTTCAATGTATCTCGCTGTATTGCATGTACTTTATTGTATTCACTGTCTCGCTATATTCCATGAATGTATTCATATGTTTTTTTAATTAATATAATATATGTATTCAGATGTATATATGTATTCAAATGTATCTGCAGTATGTATTCATATGTTTTTGCACTATAGATGACCTGCTATACTTCATGTATTCAATGTATTTTTATGTATTTAACTGTATTCAATGTAATTATATAATTTCTCTGAAGATTGCTATATTTTTGGGGTGTTTTTCGGTTGAGAATCTTTTTTATAATTGGAAATAAAAATTTTGTGTATTATAATTGAGTTTGTTGAGTTATATTAGGAGTCTATTATGTTAATTGATTCACTTTCCGTTTAAAAATAGCTGAATATACCATGAATTGCGCTATTTACGTTACTGTATTCACAAATATATATCGTGAATACAGTCGAATACAATAATTTGTCTAGCTGTAATTCCATGTTTCAAGCCGAGAAATGCTACTGTATTCATGAATACAGTAACTCAAATATATAAAATACACTCTAAAAAATATAAAAATATAGTTATAAGAAGCAATATAGTAAATGATAGGTATAACTAGCTAATAACCACTAAACAAGAGTGGTTTGTGAAAATTTCTCTTAAATATAGCCCCCACAGAGCAGATATTGATGGGTTGGCGTGGCACCATCGATATCCTCATTCGATGTGATGGCTGTTCGATGAGTTGAGGAATTGGCCAACGAAGATTGGAAAAGTGATTTACTAATTTGGGCTTTCAGTTTTGGACATTTGCGATTATCTATTACCAGATGACAGCGAGATACGGAAATTAATAATAAAAAAGTTTAAAATAAAATAGTGTCAGCATTTTCTTCTACTTCCAGATAGTTTTAACAGATTAAAATTATTTCTGAATAACTATAATTTATCATTTACTCTAGCTACTTCCGTTTACGTGGTCTTAATATTTTTTTAACTTGTTCCGAAAGAATAATTTCTTCTTAAATTTAAAAATAATTTAATTTAAAGTTTTTATTTTGTCCTATGATAAGATTTTATAGCTAAACAAATATTAATATATATATATATACTTTAAATTTCAAAAGTCTTAATTTTTTCTTAAACTCTAAGCTCGACAAAACATAAAAATAATGAAGGAAATACTTTTATCTAGTTTTACATTTGATTTTCCAATTAGGAAGTTTAAGGTTTATGAAGTGAGATATTTAAGGTGAATTAAATGCATAATATAAACAAATTCTTATAATTACGGCAATCTAATATATTTCTTTATGGGATGTATAGAATATTTTAAATTAGAATGTCTTACATTATTTTACGCCTACGATAGGATAAAGTGATGATGTAGGTACGCGGCAAATACACCTTGTGTGTACGTTGTCTATTTGTCGATAGCTAAAAGCTTCACGTGCTCACAAGTCACAGAATTGTTGTTGACACCTCATAAATATATAGTGACAAGTCCAGTTTTGTGGATGTGAATTGAAATAATTCATCACATGTCTGTTTTTATATGCGTCCAAATATTGTTTTTGTAAAGCAAAATTTACGATATCTAAAACAAATTGCAATTAAGAAAAGTATTTGAAACTAGTAAAAACATATATTTATTTTACAGGTAATAGCAATGTCAGCACCACTTTAAACGGAAGAAGTATTTCCAATTCTGTATGGGATTAGTAATGCACTAGTTTTAAAGTTATTTAAACAATAAAATGTGAAATTTTTATAGCTAATGGAAGTTAAATACGTAAAGAGAGGTTCCCCAAGTGGTAACACCTTCTATTTTCATTCTAACGGTTGTGGATTCGAGTCACAAAGGGGCAAAGTGTGCAAATGTCACGATCCAAACCGATGGGCCATGACAAGTGACCTAGTCCTACTGGTCGAACACCCCTAAGCATACGTCTAAGACATAAACATGAAATAAGGGTAGGTCATGCATATATAACATCTGTCAATAAACTACTGAATCACGTGAATAACATATGTGAGAAAATATACCAAAAAAAATATATACATGTACATGCGAAATACGGTAGGATGAACCGACAAGGCTGCTAGGGACAACTATATATCAAAAATAGAAGCCGACAAGGCCACATACTATCCAACTATACATGACTTTCTACAAACCTCGAATAGAGTGTACAACTGTATAAAGGACGGGACTGTGCCCTTTCATACCCATATATGTATAAAAAAAAATATTGTACCAAAACCCAATAGCAACTCCAGATTAAATAGAGCACACCAACTCTCGTTTAGCAAGGATCCTAAATGGGGGGCCGTCAGTCTCTCTACCTGTACCTACGGGCATGAAACGCAGGCCCCCAGGAAATATGGGCGTCAGTACAAATAATGTACCGAGTATGTAAGACATAAAATCAGTATATACATATGAAAGAAACATGGAGTAAAAGACTCAACCTGCAAGTCTGAATAGCTCTGTGAATCATAAAACATTTGTAATGTCATGCATATATGTATAAATATCATATCATGTGTATGTATATGCGTACATAGCATCATCGAGTCTCTGAGGCCATCCCATCATATCATCTCGACCTTAGTGGGAGAAATCATCAACGTATACCAACTGATCAGGTGGTAATATCGTAACCTTTTCCCATATCCCATATACATATAATATACGCGTATATAACGACAACTGGTCATGAGTCAATGGACATGTATATATAAATGCAATGCATAAGAAATAAGTCAATAAGATCTCTCAGGATGTCATAAGATCAATATGCCTTCGATTAATATCACGAAATAAACTTTAATAACTTACGTATTTTCTGAGACCCATGAACATAAGATATAATAATAGGACATATATGGAATCAAAAACCTAGGCAACCCTAGTATCGAATTGATTATTAATTGGTAAAATACAATATTTTCAGTAATCGATAGTGTTTGATATTTTGATGCATCATAAACATTTAGCTTGAAGCATATAATAATGCATGGCTTTAATATAGCCCCACAAAAAAGATATTGATGAGGTTGACGTGGAAGTATATGTTGAGCATCTTTCTTTCAATGTGACCACTTTTCCTAAGTTTGAAAATTAAAACTGGCCACGCAAGAGATTAGACAAGTGGCTGGATAGTTTTTACCTTGCGTTTAAAGTATGAATTTATTGAGATTGGGATAAGACGATGAACTGATAGGTAAAAGAAAAGAATAGCGGATAACATTTTTTTTTCAAGAGATCCGATAAGACAAGATTATTAATTGTCTATTGTACCTTAATGTGACATGTTAGTCTTTGATTGGTAATGGTCCATCTTGTGGCTATTCTAGAAGGTGAAGGTGCCCCAACTCCAAGTATAGGTGGCCTTTGAGAATAAGGCCATTCAACGTCAAGGGCAGGCTCTTTCACTATCTCTGTGGGGGTTCTATTTAAGTGTCACCTTTTAACTTGTGTCTTTTTTTTAAACTAGTTTCTCGCACGTGTATGTCAAGTCATGAAAATACTCTTAGAAAATAATATAATTATTATTAAAAAGAACTTTGAATAAATAATTATACATAAAAGAATAAAGTATAACAATTTATGAATACTCAATGTGGATCGTTGTATAAACTATTTATACTTTCTTATAAACACAGGATTATGATCCTCACAGAAGATAATATTTTATCCAAAATAATGTCTAAATAAAGCATCATCTCATTTTTATGATCTCAAAATGACATAACACATTCAAGTATAATTATGATTCTTTCAAATGGTATATTATTTCAATACAATTGAAAGTGAACTTCAAAATGATTTCATGCATGTAACATATGTATATTGTATACCAAATTACCAACTATCTTGCATTTTGAGCAAGGAATGATTAAACTATAACCTTAAAAACATATGTTATTCCTAATCGTAACAACATACATATGCTGCAACTTTTAAAATTGCTGGCAGGAAAAAAGTTATAGATTCATATCTTATCACATGAGGAATAATCATATATATATATATATATATATCAAATGATGGCTCTTGTACTATTGTAACCGCTTTTTAATTAATGTAGAGATCACCTTTAGTCTTATCAGAGAGTAGTTTTCGCAATACACCATATATAGTTATAGAAAGCCATCTTTTGTATGACTCCAAATACTGGTCGTGAAAAGAGCTAGCACTTCCAAGTATTTTCTTGTATTATTTTAATTTTATTTATTATGGTTCCTCCATTGTAATCTAATAAAATTGTTCTTTTCCTTAATTATTTTGCATGTTGTCTCTTTAGCCCCTGAATTTCCAATCCTCCATTAATTTGCTTTCTGGTCTCTATAGTTTTAAGAGAAGAAATTAAAAGATAAAAGAATGAAAAAAGATAAGGAAAAGCATGTTAGAAACATTACTGAAACGTGTGCCCATAATTTTGGAGGAGTTTCAAGTATTGTGGATGTATTATTTTCTGTTCCAAATTTTGTGCTTCTTAACGTAAAAGAAAAGCAAAAGCAACGTCTAATATGAACGCGCAAAGTGTGCAAATTTTTCGTATTTCACTATGGATAAAATTAGAGTAAGCACTTGCCTATCCCTAACATCATCTCAAGTCAGCAAGTGATATGGGAACATAACCTCTTTCAAACTAAATATTGCTTCCAGTTCTCCCCTTCGGAAAATGGCACGAGTGCCATCCTTGGCAAAAGTTGCAGCATGTTACATATTTGCCAATGGCCATATGTATTTGGTTCCAAATTATGCCAACCATCGCAACTTATCAATTTGGTTTTCTCAAGGTTTGTTTTATAAGTAAGGTATTTATGTTGGGTTGGGGCTACTTCGATTTTTTTTTTTTAATTAGGGTGATTAATTAGGTTTTGAAGTACGATATTTAGGTTGCAACAATGTTCTGAAAAAAGCTATTTCATTTAAGTTCCGCCAGAACTACATTGCTTAACAAGGCCACCACTTAATTGTGATTGTTAATGGGTTTTGAAGCGTTGCTTGGTGTTTGTACCTTAGGTTTTTATTTTATTTTGTAAATATTTTTGTGCATTGTTAATAGGTACACATTATTTTGCTTCGGTTGTCATTTTGACTAACATGAGATGATTAGGTCCACAAAGCAAACACAATATAACTTTAATAACATACGATATGTTTTGTACTTTCTATTCAGAGTAATATTCACGTTTGAAATAGATAATATTATTAATAATTTTAAACAATTTAATAACTTGCGTTTGCAGTAATCACTATTATGTTAATTGGTATATTTAAATTACTCAAATTACTTAAAAAATAGAATATTACCTATTGTGTGTACGAATAATTCAAATAACATATTAGAAGAGAAAAGGATTTATATTGGATGCAAAATAACAAATAGTATTCTAATTAGTCATAATTTTTTTTCTTTCATATTTTCTTAATTTATTTAGTTGTTGTGAACTCAAGAAAATCTATGGTCAATCAGTTGCAACAATATAAATGACAAAAATAAAACAAATAACCTCTACAATGACACTCTTATTGACAGAAAACATCAATATATAATTTATTTTCATAAGATAAAAAGGGCAAGAAGTATGCAATGCAAAAAGTTGGCATACCTTTTTGTCTTTTTTTCCCATTTACTTATAATACTTTTTGTACGGTTTTCAATCTACTTTACCTGCCAGAAGAAAAAGATTAATTAAGGAATAAGTAAAATAGGTTATTATGCCAAACCAAAAATAGTTGGATTAGTTGCAAAAGAAGAGAATGCAAGTGCCTATCTGTATGGGTCAAAATTAAGTCTAGTTTAGCGAATGCAGACGGACGAGTTGAGGCCGAGGTTGAAACTAAGCACGGCCCAATGGCGAGGAGTCGCTCAGAGAGAGACCAGTGCCGAGGTCGGGTAGAGAACAAACCGCTGCAACTGTTAGAATATTCCTAGGATTATGAATAAGAATATTGCATTGAATATTCCCCCATATTGTACTTTTTAAGGGGTTTTCTAAGGATATTCCTTATAAATAAAAAGAGATAAGAAACAAAAAAGGGGATTCAAAACTTTTATGAAAGAACATCTTGTAAAGAGTTGACTATCAAGAATATACAAAAAGCTTGTCTTGTCACATTCCACTTTTATTCACAAGATCCAAGAACACGTTGTTTACTTCCATAATCTGCTCTCACACGCTATAGTCAGAAGAAGGAATCATCCATCCCATTCAACATTTGGGTGACAAATTCCTTCTTATTACATTTAATGCCATTTGTCACATTTATTGCATGTTTTCATCCTCATATTTATTAATATAGTCATTGTATTAACTTGGCATTCGTTGACTTGAGCACGGTCCCGTACCCTCCAAGTTGTTGAACTTTAGATCTGAGATTTATTACTTTTAATTTGAATTCACCCTTTGTCTATTTATTAAATTGATTTAATAAAAAGAGCTTAAAACTTTTTGGTCAAATACTATCCATTTGACACTCTTATGCTATTGTTTGAAGTTATTCAGCCCCCTTTGCAGTACCATGTTATCTTAACGAAAAGGTATGTGAACAAACAACATGTTGTATGATCGCTATTGCATTTGTGAATGTCTATGAAGATACTTGGAAATCCCAAGAAAGAATCATAAATTATATAAGTCTTTGAAAATTATAATGATAATTCAAAATATATATGGACGATCGACAATGACCATGTGATTTCAGAAGGTAAATGTGTATCAAGAATCAGTAACAAAGGAACCAAACTGAGAAACATATCTCGAGAAACTTACTTTCAACTTTCTAATTTTAAATAAAATAAAAAATAAAAAAAATTACTTATTACTTGATATCCCACTATTTGGAACTTCTCTAAAGGAGCATGTCATTTCATATCAATGAGCAACAAAACTTATTTGAAGAAGGCATCCCTTCGTATGAAGCCGTTGGTTTGGGGTAGCGTTTCCTTTATTTACGTCTAAGTAGGATAGATAAATTTTTTGAGGAGGGTATTAAAGTAATTTAACTTTTCAGTTTAGGACTTCCTACTTTTATAATAATATAGATATATTGAACTTGTACTCACCTAGTGCTAAATTGCTACTCCCTCCGTTTCATATTATGAGGTAGTTTGACTCGGCACGGAGTTCAAGAAAAAAGAAGAAGGCTTTTGAAACTTGTGGTCTTAAAAGCTTACGGAGTAAAAAGTTTGTGGGGCCATGACATTTGTGTGACCATAAAAGTTTCTCATTAAGGGTAAATGGGTAAAATGAAAGAGTTTAAAGTTGAATTATTTCCAAATTTAGAAATGTGTCATTTGTTTTGGAACATACTAAAAAGAAAAGTACCTCATTTAATATGAAACGGAGGGAGTATTTTTTTAGACGATAATATCCCTCCCCGACCATTTAAAGCAGCAACATCTGCTGCTCCTCCATCAAAATTCTCCAGTTTTTGAGCTTCAACAAAACTAGCGTGATCTGTTCCTTCATCTTCATCAGAATTCTCCTAATTTTTCAACGCAGTAGCTTCATAAAAAGTTAACGTGATCTGCTCCTTCTTCATCAAAATTCTCAGCATTTGTAAGCACTATTTTGTATTGTTTCTATAAAAAACTTCATATTGTTAATTTATGCATTTGTTCATCAATGAAACTCGAGCGTCATGATAAAAATTAGGTAGAATCAGATTTAGTATTATCTGAAGTTTAATAATTGAAAACCAATGTGAAGTCAAGCTTCATGTTGCAAATTACTTCGAATTTGCTTTAGTAATTCCTGAGGTTTATTAATTGACAATGCAGGCCAATCGCAAAAAAATAAATCTTAATTCCGTATGATTTTGATAGTTCCAACGAATATTTAGTTGTTCTAAGTTAGAGGCTCCAAAATAATTTGTGTATATGGTCAAAATCGGGATTGCCCCTTTTTATGATTAATCGAGACTGGGCGTGACAGGCCAGGGTTCAACCCTGTGTCATAACTGACCGAGACACGAAGTTAGATGGCCAAGCTCGTGAGTCAGGGACCGATCGAGATCGAGACCAGCCAAGATCGAGACCGAGCGGGATAGAGATTGAGCAAGATCGAGGAAAGCCTGCCGAGCCAAATAACGGAAAGCCAAGATATCCGCAATCGAGCGAGGATCACGACGGACATCTCGGTATGTATCAAGAAGAGGCCGATTAATCAGCTAATAATGAGTTTCTTACCATATTTAGGATTGTATTAACAGTAGGACTCCCCTACTATATAAAAGGGGTCTGATCATTTGTAAAGGACATCATATTCACGTTACATAAAGTAGTATACTATCTTCTTCTTAAGCTCTCAGTTCTCTGTTATTCTATTCATACTTCGCAGTAAAATACTTGTTTGATTTGAAGGCGACCTACTCGATGATCAAAGCTATACATCTCTTTTGGTTTGCATTATTTCTATTTGTAGTTAATTTCAATAACAATATTGTGTTTTTCTCAGTTTGTGCCAAGTAAAATCACGTGTCCTTAAAACTACAGTATAAATTCAATTGTTATACGTTTTTAGGGTAAACAGTTTGGCGCCCACCATGGGACTAAGGATAATAGTGATTGTCTTGTACAAATTTTAGTAACACACACTATTTTACACTTGTTCTTTGAAGTATGTTTGATTACAAGATTAAAACATGTCAAACTCTCAATCAGCACCTCAACACATTGACAATGATCTTAGCCACCACGGCGAAAATGAGAACATTGCACCAGGAAACGTTGTACCTCTTGCTGGCCTCGATGAAATTCCGGCTGTGGATCCGATCGATGTCAGTTCGCATGTAGCCATCAATGGAAATTTGGCCATCGATCCTGAAAGCAGCGTTCGCGGGGGCACCCGATTAGCTACTCAGATTGCACATGGTGGTGAAGATGGCCGGATCAGCCTGCGGGTGATCTTCAAAATATTGCAGGCCCAACAAGCAGCAATAGCCCAGCTTCAAAATCAAAACCACACACCGAGCAGGGTCAAACACGAGCCATCCCAGGAAGTTGTACATGGGGTCGAATCGGCTTCTAGGCAATCTAATGAGAAAGAATCAGAGATTAATCCTGCTATCATAAAAATGCTCGAAGAACTGACAAAGTGAATCGAGACAAGGGAAAAAAAGATCGAGGAAAACGATAAGAAGGTGGAAACCTATAACACCAGAGTCGACAAAATCCCGGGGGCACCACCAATATTGAAAGGACTAGATTCCAAAAAAATTGTACAAAAACTTTTCTCCCCAAGTGTGGCTCTGAAGGCAATCCCTAAGAAGTTCCGTATGCCCGAGATTCCTAAGTATAACGGGACAACTTATCCAAACGAACATCACCTCCTACACATGTGTTATCAAAGGAAATGACTTCAAAGATGACGAGAACTAATCCGTCTTGCTGAAAAAATTCAGGGAGACTTTATGGAAGGGTGCTATGATATGGTATTATAATTTACCGCCTAACTCTATTGGCTTGTTTGCTATGCTTGCAGATTCTTTTGTAAAGCCAAACGCCGGGGCCATTAAGGTCGCAACAAGAAAGTCGGACCTCTTCAAGGTAAGGCAGAAGGACAACGAGATGCTCAGGAAATTCGTATCTCGATTCCAAATGGAATGAATGAATTTTCCACCGGTCACCGATGATCGAGCTGTTCAAGCTTTCACTCAAGGATCAACATTCGGAGTTCCATAACTTCATACCAGTTGAAGCAGATTTTGATTGAATATCTAGCTATCACTTGGGCCGATGTACACAATTGGTATCAGTCGAAGCTCAGGGTTGATGATGATCAATTAGGGCTCCTTCTGGGTTTGTTTATCCTAACAAGCCCGTAGATAGAATCAAGACGGATATCGACCGAGAACCAAGATCGAATAGAGATCGATATCAACCGTATAATGGAGACCATAGAGGCACCGAGTCTGGGCGAAACTATGCACGGAATAAGAGGAGAAACGATCGAGGTCAAAGTTCACGGGGACTCATGAGCAAGGGTGGTTTCGACAGGGATGCCGAGCCCAAGGAAGCACCACAACTATCGGAATATAACTTCAACATTGATATGTCCGCCATTGTATCTGCCATCGGACGTATCAAAGATACTAGATGGCCTCGACCTCGGTAGACCGATCCAGCCTAGAGAATTCCCAACCAAGTGTGCAAGTATCATGGTACCCATGGCCATAAAACAGAAGATTGCAGACAGCTAAGGGAGGAAGTAGCCCGATTGTTCAACGAGGGGAACCTTCAGGAATTCTTATGCGATTAGGCCAAGAATCACTTCAAAAACAGAGATTCAAACAGATAGAACGAGCAAGAAGATCCGCATCACGTGATTCACATGATCGTTGGAGGGGTTGATATTCCTCAAGAACCAGTATTTAAACGCACCAAGGTGTCGATCATAAGGGAGAAACAAACTCGGGATTACGTACCAGAAGGAACCTTATCTTTCAACGATGAGGATGGAGAAGGGATCATACAACCCCACAATGACGCACTGGTAATATCTGTACTTATGAATAAAACTCAAGTAAAACGTGTTTTAATTGAGCTCGGCCAACATTATTCGATCGAGGGTCATAGAACAGCTTGGCCTACAAGATCAAGTTGTGCCTGCAGCCCAAGTACTAAACGGTTTCAATATGTCATGTGAAACCACCAAAGTCGAGATAAATTTGCCAGTAAACGTGGCTGGGACCATCCAAGAAACGAAGTTCCATGTGATCGAAGGCGATATGAGGTATAATGCGCTACTCGGGAGACCGTGGATCCACAACATGAGAGCAGTGCCTTCGACCCTTCACCAGGTTGTAAAGTTCTCGACACTGGAGGGAGTCAAAACAGTCTATCGGGAGGCAACCCTCCGCCAAGGAAATGTTTGTCGTCGACGAAGTGATACCGATATCGGCGATCTCATCAACGAAAGGGTCAAATTCGAAGAGAAAATAGGAGGTCAAATAGTAACCACAAACACCGACCTCGACCCATCAGAGAAGCAAGGGACTGACGAGGATGATGACTACGGGGTTTCTCGATCCTTCAAAGTCCCCGATGATTCCAATGCCCCCAAGTCAACAGTCGAAGAGCTGGAAAAATCATACCGGCCGAACATCAGCCCGATCGAAAGGTATACGTGGGCACGAGGTTAGCCCTAGAGCTCAGGAGAAAACTTATTCAATTCCATAAAACTAACATAGATTGCTTTGCTTGGTCCCATCTCGATATGACAGGGATCCCACCAGAAATTACCACCCATAAACCGAGCCTGGACCCAAAATTTCATCCGGTGAAGCAAAAAAGAAGGCCCCAGTCCGAGGTCAAACACGCTTTCATCAAAGACGAGGTAACCAAACTTCTCAAAATAGGGTCCATCCAGGAAGTAAAATATCCCGAATGGTTAGCGAATGTAGTAGTAGTAGTCCCTAAGAAGGGAAACAAACTTAGAATGTGTGTAGATTACAAAGATCTAAATAAAGAATTCCCCAAGGATTCTTTTCCTTTGCCTAATATCGATCGCATAATCGATTCCACGGCCGGCCACGAGATCCTCAATTTTCTCGACGCCCATTTCGGGTACAACGAAATACGGATGAACTTGGAAGACCAGGAAAAGACCTCGTTCAACACTAAATATGGTACCTACTGCTATAATGAAATGCCATTCGGATAAAAAAATGCTGGTAAAACCTATCAATGCCTAGTAAACCGAATGTTCGAAGAACAAATAGGGAAATCTATGGAAGTTTATATTGATGACATGCTAGTTATGTCCCTGCGAACAGAGGACCATTTGAAGCATTTGCAGGAAACTTAATATACTGAAGAAATACAACATGAAACTCAACCGAGAAAAATGTGCGTTCGCGGTCGGCTCTGGCAAATTTCTCGGCTTCATGGTATCCTATCGAGGAATCGAGATCAACCCCGACAAAATCAAAGCTATCGGGGACATCACGGTAGTAGACAACGCAAAGGGGGTGCAGAGGTTAACAGGGCACATGGCTGCCTTGGGGCGATTCATCTCAAGGTCCTCCGATAAGAGCCATCGGTTCTTTTTGCTGCTGCTGAAGAAGAAAAACTTCACATGGACTCCGGAATGCCAACAGGACTTGTAGGAGCTTAAACGATACTTGTCTAGCCTGCCGCTGCTTCACACGCCGAGGGAAAACGAACAACTTTACTTATATCTGGCAGTATCGGAGATAACGATAAGTGGAGTCCTAATCCGAGAAGAACAAGGTACACAATTCTCTATCTATTATATTAGTCAGACCCTAGGTGAGGCCGAAACTAGGTATCCTCATCTAGAAAAGTTAGCACTCGCTTTGATAAGCGCCTCTAGGAAACTAAAACCATACTTTCAATGTCATCCTATATGTGTTGTAACAACTTATACTCTTCGAATTATTTTTCATAGACCCGAGCTTTTGGGATGATTGGCCAAATGGGGTGTAAAAATCGGGGGGTACGATATTGAGTATCGACCCTCGAACAACCATCAAGTCTCAAATCTTGGCAGACTTTGTGGCTAACTTCACGCCGGCCCTAGAACCCGAGGTTGAAAGAGATTATTAGTCAACTCAGGTACATCTTCGTGGATCTGGACCCTCTTTACGAACGATGCTTCGAACGTAAAGGGGCCCGGACTCGTCATCGTGCTAAAACCACCCATAGGTAACATGGTTAGACATCTATTAGAACTGTAAAACTAACTAAAAACGAGGCTGAATATGAGGCCATGATTGCAGGTCTCGAACTAGCCAAAGGCTTGGGAGCAGAGGTGATCGATGCCAAATGCGACTCCCTCCTCGTTGTGAATCAGATTAACGGAACCTTTGAATTTCGAGTGAAACGAATGCAAAGACGCTTGGATAAGCTACAAGTAACTCTACACCAATTCAAGGAATGGACTTTGCAACATGTTCTCGAGATCAAAATGGCAAAGCCGATGCCCTTGGAAACCTAGGATCATTGGTCGAAGACAACGAATTCAATTCGAGGGCTGTTGTACAACTCATGAGGTCGGTGGTCGATGAAGGCCACGCCGAGATAAACTCCACAAGCTTGACCTAGGATTGGAGAATCAAATACATAGAGTATTTGAAGAACGGAAAACTTCCCTCATATCCAAAAGAATCGAGGGCCCTGCGCACAAAGTCAGCCCAATTTTGCCTGTCCGAAGATGGAACCTTACTCAGAAGGATGTTCGACGGTCCGCTAGCAATATGTCTGGGACCAAAAGACACCAAGTATGTTTTGAGGGAAGTCCACTCAGGCACATGCGGGAACCACTCAGGCACTGTATCACT